CTCATAATTTAATGGTGGAGACAAACTACGAACAAATATGTACAAACAAGCTATAGATAGGATAAACTGGAGATAATTAGCAGAGGAAAGGCACTAGAATGAAGAGGGGTTGGGCAGGGCTTTCTGCCGAAGGTGGAGTTTTAGTTGGGAATTAAAGGAAGCCAGAGAGGTCATTAGTCTGAGCAGAGAGGGTGAGCATTCCAGGCGTGGGTGATAGCCAGAGAAAATGCCTGGAATGAAAGATGGAGTGTCTTGTTTGTGGAACAACCAGAAGGCCAATGCCACTGAATCATAGAGTATATCCTGGGGAGTAAAGTGTAAGAATACTGGAAAGATATGAAAGGTAGGCTAGGTTATAAAGGGCTTCGAATACCAAACAGGCTTTTGTATTTGCTCCTAGAAGCAAAAGGAAGTCATTGGAGTTTACAGAGTGGGGGTATGTGTGACATGATCAGATTTACATTTTAGGAAAATCACTTTAGTGACTGACTGGAGGATGGATTGGTGTGGGTTACTTTGTGGGAGTTAATAGTATTAATAGTACTACCCTTTGCCTCACAGCCAAGGAACCAAGGGTCAAAGGCATATTGGCCCATTGGGAAATACTTCAAGGTTTAAAACAGCTGTAAGACTTTAGCAAATAGGCAAAGCCTCCATGTTAATGTTTAACGTGGAGCTAGCTATTTAGGGATGATAGAGATAGACCTTAGAAATCTTCTGATTGTAGTCTAATTTCTCATTTTATATTTACTAAAGTTAAGAAAACCAAAGTCCAAAAAAGGAGTATGATTGTTTAGGGGTAGCATATGGAGAGAAACTGACAAAGTTGGAATTAGAACCCAGGCCTACTGGCCTCCAAGAGTTCATTACACTATACTGAATGGTAACTTTTCCTGTCAGGAAAGCTAAGACTGTATTTTTTTTTCTTATTTGTTAACTCTCCTGTGACTCTTCTGTTCTATCAGGCCCAAAGGGCTGAGAATTCAGTCTTGTCCTTTTCTCCCACCACTGTTCTCTTCATTAAATAATTCCATATTTATCCAAATATATATGCCCACCCTTAGTCAAGTCACTTAATCTCTCAGTGCTCTAGGCATCTCTCTAAAACTATATATAAATTGCAGAGAAGGTTCTGACTTGCATTGGTCGAGGGAAGTTCCTCAACATCACAGGTCCATTCCTGTGCATTCATCTATGCTCGTTCATCATATGTGCATTTCTAAGCATTCATCTATGTTCAAACTATTCTGGGTTATGCAGGGCACTAACTGCCATAATTAAGTTCAAAATATCTATACCCAATCCATGAAGGAACATTTGGAAAGGAGATTTCTGTTGACAGACAAGAGATTGTCAATTTTTTTTTTTAAAGAGAAAGAGTTAGATACTCACTTTGGGCCTAGATGCATCTGCAGAATCAAATCTTTCCTTCTGAATTATTTCAGTAACTAAGGCCTGAGGCTTTTCTTAAGAATTAAAAAAAGAAAATAAGACTGACTAGGATGAACTTAATAACTCTTTGTCCATGAGAGGCAATAGTAGGAAAAATCCCTGGACTTGGAGTCCTCGTGATGTGGGCAGGCCATTTTACATCTCTGAGCCTTCTTTTATTGTCTGTAAAATGGGGTGAGTAATAGTAGTACTACTTATCTCAGAGTGAAAATCATAATACACTATACCATTATTTGTTATTATTGTTAATCTCTAGTTATTATTATTAATCTCCAGTTATTATTATTATTTATCTCCCTGAGCTTTTCCTTCTTTGTAAAATGGGAACTATAATGCTATTTGCCTTACCTGCCTCCCAGAGATATTATAAGGAAAACCTAGATTTGTAGATTAGAAAGTACATTCTCTTTCTATATCTGTCATTTTATATACACACAATCTTTCTATCCATGTATTTAAAATGTGTTTCCATATCCAGTGGCAGAGCCTCTTTCTTTGGGCTCCTCAGGGTCAAAGCCAGCCTCTTAGACTATGAGGCATGTCTGAAGTGCACCACAATTGTTTTCATAAAGGTAATGGGCAAGCACAGAAGATTAGACATTCAATTAGACTGGACTACAGTCCAGTCAACTTTGGATAGACAGGATCAATTCTGTTCCACTTAATCTCCCTGACCAAAGGGAAAATATTTATTTATCTTTAATCCTTCTGGAAAGTGGTCATTTGACCAGCAATATCTGTCTTCACCAAAAGAAACACAGCCTTTCATAAGGTGTTGTTTATGCTTCTGCAATGCAAATACCTCCATATGCTAATTACTGAGATACTTATCTTGTCAACTGCCTTCTATGAGCTAAGAAATTGTCTGCTGAATATGCTTGGCCCAAATATGTTTCTTTTGACACTTTTCCTCTCTGAATATAGATACAGTTGAACCAAAGCTCTCTTTAGTGGCAGCTGGGATCAAAGAGAATTTAGGCCTTGAGTCCTGGCTCTGCCCCTAACTAGCTGGTGTAATTTGTTACTATTAACTATTAGTTACTGTTAACTATTAGTTACAGTAAGTTACTATTTCTTCTCCCTGGAACTCAGCACCCTCATTTGAAAGATGAGATGTTTGAACTAAACAAAGTTCAAGGACTTTCTAATTTTAACATTCTGTAATTCTGTGACCTCAAATTATGGAGGGACTAGATATATCCTCACCCAAAGAGGATCTTTGAGGCTCAATGTACAATGCAGTTCAGGATACGGATCTTTACAAATCAAATTAGCAAATATTTATTGAGCCCAATACTATGCACAAGACATTAACCTATCTGTTATAAATGTGTTTATGCACATAACATGAATCATTATAGTATAAAGTATCTATGTTTTCTTCTTTCCAACTAGATAGCCAAAACATTAAAGTAAGGAAATGTCTTTCACACCTTTTGAAATTCTCAGGGGCAGCTAGGTGGAGCAGTGGATAGAGCTCTAGCCTTGGAGTCAGGAGGACCTGAGTTCAAATCCAGCCTCAGACACTTGACACTTACTAACTGTGTGACCCTGGGCAAGTCACTTAACCCCAATTGCCTCAGCAAAAAAAAAAAAATTCTCCCATGTCACAGAACTATAGAATGTAACAGAATGAAGGGACCTCAGAACATCAAATATTCTACCTCTGGTAGACATAAGTTCTTTGAGGGCAGGTATTTCTTGTCTTCATCTTTATAAACATAGTTTATATGTTTATAATATATGTGTCTAATGTTTGTTGAATCTTGACTTTTAAATACAATGTGGAACTTCAGAAGAAAAAAATATTAATGCCTAGAAAATCACATATCAAATATAGAAGAAACTTGAGAGAGATCACCTAGTTCCACCTCATTTTACAAAGGAGGAAACCCAGGCTTAGATTGGGAATGTGACTATTTAAGGACACCACATTGGCAGACCCAAGATTACGTCCAAGATTTCAGGTCCCCTTTCACTGTACCTTGGTATCTTTCTGTTAAATCCACAAGTACCACATTATCAAATTCTCTGTCCAACCCTGCCATCTCCATGCCCTCAGGCCTTATTAATATCCTCCTGTTCAGATAAAGCCTTGAAGTCTATTCTTTGATACTGCCACCAATGAATTTCTTTGTGACCTGAAGAAAATGGACACAATTTCTTTTGATCTCAGATTTCTTCCCTCAGATTTCTAACCCCTTTCTGTCTCTTGGGGACATGGTGGGGATGAATTAAATGTCTGTCAAGCAAAATTTTCACTCTCAGGGAAAAGAAAGAAAATTGTTGGTGGAGAAACATTACAGACTGTATAGATGGTCTGGGGAAAATTCTAGAAAAAAAGATGAGATATAAGTTTATTGCACTTTGGCCACAACTAAACTCCTGATTTAATTTCAGTCTGTGGGGCTGAAGATTCATATGGCTATGGAGAACTGTGAAAATGATAGGCTGTTTCAGGATAGCCACTTTACTTTTTAGAAGCTTATGTTTTTACAGTGCTTTTCAGTATTAGCACACCCATTTTATAGAAGGAAGAACTGAGGCTCATGTTAAATGGCTTACTGAGGGCAAGTGGCAGAGTTTCTACATTGCCTCAGTGCCTGGAGCAATGCCACGCATTCAATATATGTTTTAGATGATGACTAATTCCAGGAATGAGGGAGGTTGACAGGAGAGATTAGATAAGAAATGTTTCTCAGTTTTCTACTAAGGGTTAAAAAACAAATGAGACAGTCCATTGAGTTCACCACCAGTCTTTTACCTCTCCTGGCTTCATAGCCAGAGATATTTATTAAGAGCCCACTATGCCTTAGGCACCAGGGCTAAAAAAGAAAAAGAAGAACAGTAACACTGATAGTGATATTGCATTCGATGTTTCAGGAATAGCAAAATATAATATCATGTCAAAAACATTGAGCTAAGACTAAGGAAATCTGGGTTCTAGGTAAATCTTTACATCTAACTTGCTGTGTTTTCATGGGTAAATCATTCCTCTATACGCTTCAGTTACCTCCTCTGAGAAGGAGGTTATATTAAATGATCTTTAGTTAATAGTCTTACTGCCCTAGAATATAGAATGTTAAAGTGTTGGAAGGGGCATTAGGGACAGACCATCAAGTCTAACCTTCTCATTTAACAGAGAAGGAAAGTGGGGTCCAGAGAAGAGTCTCTTGACCAAGTCTATACAAAAAGTTAGTGGCAAAGCCAAGTCTGGAACAGGGGTTTCTTGGCTCTTGGTCCAGTGCTCCTTCCATTATTTCACTTTATTATCAGGATGTATTTTGTCAGTTTCATTGTCACCAATGGGAAACAGGATATAAGAAGTCTTTGGCCTGAATCCCTAGCTAGTTATTAACATTAATGCTAGAATTTGGACTCTTAGCTCTTCAGTATCTTGTTCCTGGACATTAGCCCCCTGCCTCATGCTGTTTGAATTTTATAGGCCTTTCAGTTTGCCAAATTGATCTTGAAACTGATCCATTTAATTGGGATATCATCAGGAAGACCAGCAAAATCCAACAGACATACTCAAAAGACAAACTTACTTAGGGATTAGAGAGACCTACTTGGGATGACTGAGATCCAAATTGGCAGCAAAGAGGAATCAGAGGTAGCAAAGTAATAAAGGCTTGCAAAAATCTGAAGCATAAAAACAGGAAAGATGGAAAAGTTATTAACCCTGTCTCAATAAAACTACATTATAAAAAGTGACAAAAAACCCCCAAAACCCAGCACCCTTTCTTTAGCCTGAAATGTTTTTGTGATCCCACCCCTAAAAACAGAATAATATAGCATTTCTTGTACCTTGCTTTATTTGTATTTCAAAAATCTCCTATAATATAAGTAATGCAAGTATGATCCCTATTTTATAGATGAGGTAATTGAGGCCCAAAGAAGGAAAGAGCCTTAGAAGTCATAGAATATTATTCCTACAAGAAAAGTTAGAAAGATCACTACATTACAGAATAGAGAAATGTTGCAAGTAGAAAGGATCTAACAACACATTAAAATCAAAGCTGGAAATGGTCTTAGGTCCTCAAGTCTAACACTCTTGTTTTATGGTAGAGCCACCTGAAGCTCAAAAAGAGGCTCAAGGCCACACAGATAACAAGTGAAATTCCCAGACTCTGTGCCCAGGGTTTTTTTCTACTGTGCCAGGTTGCCTTACGTAAGAAATGAGACTAGGTTTCAGACAGCTTCCTTTCCCTTTTCTTTTACTAGTAATTTCTCCCTTAAAATCTCATATCAAGAAATTCCCTAAAATATGGGTTATTACCTGACTTTCAATGTTACCACAATATCTTCAGTTGCCACAGTACCCCCAGTAAATGTGCTAGCTCCTTCATAGCAGGAATTATTTCTAGTATCATAGTGTTTTCCAAGGTGTAGCACTTAATAAATGCTTTTTGAATTGAATTATTCAATATTTTTTGCTATAATTCCTTTTCGCAAATAGTAGCATCTCATATTGATATAGTACTCTAAGAGTTAGTTACAAAGCACTTTTCTTACCATAACCCTTTGGAGTCATTTGGTGGAAATGGAAACAGGCTCAGAAAATTAGAAGCAATTTGCCTAAGCTGACACAGTCAGTGGAAGAGCCAGAATTCAAAACCCAGGCTTTCGATCCAGTTCTTCCACTACTCTCTGCTTCCCCTATAGGGCATTTTGTCACTGGAGAGGGAATCTTCAGCCCCCTTCTCTTAGATCAGAATGGAACACTAGGTACTTGGAAACAAATTGGACTGATGGGAGAATTCACTTATAATTGCTCATATACCCTTTGACCCTGAGAAGCCACCATGGGGGATATACATGCTTCAAGAAAGTCAACAACAGAAGGAAACAACAAAAAGAATTAGAAACAAAGTGGGTACCTATTAATTGTAGAAATGGATGAACAAATTGTAGTATATAATCTTAATGGAATTGCACGACATCATAAGAAATGACAACTATGAGGAATTTAGAGAAACTTGAGAATACCTAATGTGAATTGATGCCATAAAATATGCAAAACTAGGACAACAATAATTAGTAAAGGAAATCTGCATTAAAGGCAACCCAACTCCGATTGATTTTAATAATCTATCTTGGGCATCACACAAATAAAGAACAGATAATAAAATATACCTTTCCTATCTAGGTAGAGAGATGGAGATTACCAGTGGAGAACTACATATGCTGTCATGGTGGTTGTGTCATCTGGTTTTGTTTAACTATTATTTTGTGAGGGGGCAGCTAGGTGGCACAGTGGACATAGCACTGGCCCTGAAGGTAGGAGGACCTGAGTTCAAATCCAGCCTCAGACCAAACATTTGACAGTTACTGGCTGTATGACTCTGGGCAAGTCACTTAAGCCCAATTGCCTAAAAAAAAAATAATAGTAACTATTATTTTGTTAGAAGGTAGAGTTAAATTATGTGTGTGTGTGTGTGTGTGTGTGTGTGTGCGCGTGCAGGTATATATCTAGGAGCAGATATATATATATATATATATATATATATATATATATATATATATATATATATATAAAACAAAAGGCATCGACACAACTTGTAAAAAAGAAAAGGAGGAGACAGTTATAGTCTCCATTTTCCCAGCAGAGGAGGTGAGGCCACAGAGCTGAGGCCACTTTCTTTAATCTCCTCAGCAGTCTCCCCTTACCCATAGGCGCTCTGAAAAACAGACTCACCACTATCTCTGTCTCAGCAGCACCCCCCACCTCCAATAATACCTGATAGCCTAACAGCTTCCAGATAACAATCAGTCCAGTTAAGGTTCTGGTATATTACTCTCAAACAGCTTTTGCTATTAAGCTTATATCCAAAGCTGACTACTTTATTCTTCAAATCTTAAAATTAAAGCCTTTGTTATTGTAATTTCAATTAGTGGAAAGAACTCTGGATTCAGAAGACCTGGCTTCAGGTTCTGACTTAGGGCCCCCGACGGGGATCACTTCTCTGAGTTTGTATTCTCATCTGCAGAGTGGGGCAAATCATACTTGTACTGCCTGCCTCTCTCAGGATTGTTGCGGGGAAAGTGCTTTGTAAATTATTAAGCACAACAGAAAGGGGAGCTGCTATGATTCCCTCCTGGTCAGCCCAGGCAGAAGTTCCTCCCCAACACTGAATCCCTAAGAGCTTGGGTTTTCTCTTCCTTATTTTGTCTGACTCCAGTCCTGCTGCTGCTGGCTAAAGTCCTAACTTCAGAACCAGTCAGTCAGCAACAACCAGTCATTTAGGGAAACAGAATGAAGGAGAGTCTCACGTTACTTTGGTACACAGGATGCAGACAATAATAAAAGGAGGTGGGAAGGCTGGGGATATACTGAAAGAATATACCCTAAGGGATGTCTCAGAAGTGTATTTCACTCGTACCTAGAAAATATGTGTGAATATGTATTTTCCTTTTACATCTATTTATTTTAATATATAATATAGAGGTATATTTTTTGTTGTTGGGGGGTGCACTTATATAATTAAACAGTATTTTTTTTTTAAACAAAGTCTTGATTAAGGACCTGAGCTGAAACTTTCTGGCCAGGATTCCTAACCAAATCCCCCTTCCCCCCACCTTCTCCCTTTGCCTCCCATCTGCTCACCTCTGCTCACCTCTGCTCGATGCTGAAATCTCGGGCTTCCAAAATATCCCGTGCTACTCCCCGCCACAGTTCGATCTTCCCTTTCCTAGCTCTGACCTGCTGCTGCTGCTGCTGCTGCTACTGCTACTACTGCTGCTAACCTCAAGTCTGGAGGCTGGCTGGGTGTGTTAGTCATGTTACTGAGAAGTCAACTGGCTCTCAGCAGGCACGTGACACAAAATGAGTTGGGTCACTCACTCATGACTGCAGACAAAAATTCTCTTCTTCTAGCAGGACAAAGGGGCTGTAGGGTTGATATTCTCAGAGCTCAGGAGAAAGTGGGTCATTCTGGTGGGAGCTTAGAAACCTTTGGACTGAGTTGTGGAGTTTTGTTTCCCACCCAGAAGGGATACTTAGGTAAGGAAGCAACTGAAGCCATTAATTCTACTTAGATCACTGATGAGTTTTGGAAGTATTTTCTTGAAAAAAAAAAGCCCTGGAAGAGGGAGGTAGTACAAGGATTATCATCTCCATTTTACAGATAAGAAAACTGAGCTCAAAAAGAGGTACTGTCTGTCTTGCCCAGTGTCACACATCTAAGAAGTAGTAGAGCCAGAACTTGGTTCTTCTAAGTCAGGTCTTCTCACTCCTAAAGTCCAGTATTCTTTCTGCTAACTGGATTGTCCCCAACTATGTTAAAGAAAGTGACAGGCAGTCCAGGATAGATTAAATGGGTGGGGATCAGATACTCTCTTTGATTTTAAACCACTTGTGGCTATTTGAAAAGCACTGAAATGAGGGTTCTTCAGGTACAAATGAAGAGAGGCTGGATCGCTACCAGACAGTCACTAAGGTAGAAGTTCCTAAGGTCACTGAGTGCCTTTTAAGTATTGTTTGGTTTTTTTTTTCCACCCAAGAAGGCTTTCTCTGTTTTCTTAGCTTCTAACACCAATTACAAGTTTGATGGTGTATGGATGAGTATTTCTTTTTGGAGATGAAATGGGGCAATGGTAGAAAGAACATTGGCCTTGGAACCATATGGGTTTGAAACTCAACAAATTGTGTGAATTCAAGCAAGTCCTCTAACTTTTCTGGCCCTCCAATTTCCTCATTGGTAATGGGCACAAGGATACATTTTTCACTTCCTTCCTCATGAGGTTTTTGTGAAACCAAATGGCAAAGTATTAAGCACTTACTAAGTGCTTATGGGCACTATGTACTATGGCACTTACAATGCTAAGCATTGTAATGTGAGTAGGTGGGTGAAGGAACAATACAGAGAGGAGAGTTCTGCTCAGGGTGAATGGCTAGGACTCAGGGGTCCTTAAGGCATTTCCTTACAGGGGAAATCACTTTGTAAACTGCTAAGGGCCATAGAAATGACTATTTTTTGAGGCAGAGTGGTAGGAAATAGAAGTCGTCATCACTCTACTCTCCCCAAAATGAATGATATATGCTCACACATGTATTGTGTGAATAATTATTTTTTGTTAAGTTAAAAACTGAACTTCTTCCTCTCACCACCCAAGCTTGTTTCCCTCCCAGATTATTCCTTCCCCCCCCCATGGTGCTAGATTCTCAGTCTAGAAAATGTTAAATTTATCTTCGACCCTTCCCTTTCCTCATCTCCCTCTGTGAACTGGAGATGTCCTTTGAAATGTGCCAGATTCATCTCTTCTTCATTCCCACAGCCACCTTATTAATTAAGTTTAATACTAAAATGGATCTGTGATCTTATTGATATAGGTATTCTCTCCATTTGTGTGGATTAAGAGCCATCTACATCTTCTTGCATGTTTGTGACTTTTGTCCTCAAGTTGTATAAATCCTCCATGGGAAGACCATTCTGAATGGGATGTCCCAGTGAAGACTCCTCAGTGTAATTAAGGTTTGGGATAAGGCTGAGTGGGATGAGGGGTCCCGTGAAAACTTCTTAGAAGAATAAATAGAAATTGTATTAGACTCAAGGCAAGCATAGCAGCCTGACAGGCCTAAGTTTCAATTTACTAGAAATCACCTGATTTACGGTAATTCAACCCCAAGTATCCCCCCCCCTTAAGCCAATGTTCAGTAGTTAAAGTTTGCCAAGCCTGAAACCCCTGAAGAAGTCCCCCCCCCCCGTATTTTGTTGATGCACCTGTTGCTATATTTTGATCATGGTGACCTGGCTATACAGTACAATGTCTAGCTTGACTGCACATCTTTAATTGTTTCTTTGGTATTACTTCAGCAAACTAAGAAATATAGATATGTATATTGTGTTCATTGTTTTGTTTTCAGTGTCTATGGTACATTGAGACTGTGAGCCAAATAGTGGCCAGTTGGTGGGAGGGGGGCATTTGCCCATTAGGGCTGTTTAATCAGATCCTTTGCTCCTATGCTTTGTCTTCCCTCATCAGAGCGTCCTGGTGGAGGGACACCCAAATCTCGAGATTTGAAATAATGATAATAATAATAATAATAATAATAATAATAATAAATTAACTTTCTGTTTCTCCTTGGATACCTCTGTGTGTTTTTTAGTTTGAGTGGCATCCCACACAGTTTGGTGCATTGGCCAGGAAATGAGCCTCTTAGGAGTCGACTAAGGGCTGAGAGCAGGCCCCCACTGACCATCTTTCTCGGTGGCTCTCAGACTTGGGGATCAGTCTCCCTCCTGAGCGGCAGACGTCCCGAAGAGAGGAACGTGTAGGTACAGAAACTTAAAAGAAAAGAAAATAAAAGAGAGAGCTCCAACAGTGGTAGTGTGGTGCAAATGTAAAACTCCGGCCGGTGAAGAGAGCAGTCAACGTAAGTTATACATGTATAACCTGCTGCAGAACTTGTGGGTCTTTGGGATAGATCTCTGGAGAAATCCTTGGAGAGACGCTGACAAGTGAGCGCTCAGGTGACTGAGGGAACCTGAGGATGTGCCAGAACTTGTGAGTCTTTGGGATAGGACAAATTATCCCTGGAGAGATGCCGACAGGTGAGCACTCAGGGGACTGAGGGAAGGGAGTGAGGGGAGACCTTTCCCTGAGGGCCTCGGGCTAGGTCCTGAATAAATTACCTAAATAAATTACCTGAGAGGGCCTAAATTTTCCTGAGAAAATTAAAAATGGGTAATGAGCAGTCTAAATCTGGCACCACAGAGCGGAAAAGAAGGTATACCAGGAAATAGTCCCAGAATTGGAATGAACCACCAAAATATAAAGAGAAAGATAAGAGAAAATGATTAAATATGGTTTGAGGATTTTACAGCAATTTGTTATATGTCTAATTTCTGTGTTTGTGTCTTTGCATGTGTGGTATGATTGATTGTCTGTATGTATAATCTGATCCTTTGCAGTCAGGCAGCCACTTTGTTTCTCCCCCCCCCCTCCCCGCTTCCTCCCTGGTAACAGCAGCCTTAGAGGAGTGGATGGGAGAGAGAAAAAAAGAGAAAAATACTTTATAGTGTGAATAGAGGTTTTGAAAGTAAAAAGGTTTGGAACTCTTGAAGAGTTGTTGGAAAATATTTTCTTCCTCTCTCCCGCATTCCAATTTTGGCCAAATTGTTGAATGTAGAAGAGAGAGAAGGAGGAAAAAAAAAGATCAGATCAAAGGAAGGCAGGCTAAATAAGTTTTTAACCATTCCCTGCCTTACCTAAAAGAGAAAAAGTTTTTGTGTACCAGAGCACAAACAAAAGGTAATTTATGGGCAGCTGGGAGTTGTGCCAAGGCCATATGGGGGCTTGTTGGGGATGACTGAGTTCGGTAGCTGCCAAGGAAATGAAATGTAATGTTCACAATTTATAACATTGTAAATTGGGAAAATGCAAGGATCTGCAAATTGGTAAACTTTTGTATTGTTATGTCAAATGGCTTTTCATAATTTGAATGTTATTAAAGTAAATTGAAAGAAACTAAAGAATAGGGGGGGGAATTGTGTAAGGAATTGTTTAGAATGCATAGAAAAGTTGTAAAAGTAGTTTGGCAAGAGAGAGGGGGAGGGAGAGATTCAATTATCTCCCTTCAGAAATGTAAAAAGAAAGCTGTGTAATGGTCAATTAATTATTAAGCTCCAGAGGTGTCTACCTGGAGGGGAAGCTGTTGCGCGTGTCCAGCTCAGTGGCTGTGAGAGTCTTAAACTCTCTCTCCCCAGGAATGCTAAGGCCAGTTTAGTTCCTGATACCCTGCGCCGAGCAGTGAGAGGCAGGGAGACAAGATGGTGAAGCTCCCTTTATTCAAGGCACAGCACAGCGTTTTATGTCTTTGACTCATGGGAACATACCCCAATGTAACAGTGGACAAAGCAACAAAGTTTACATATCTTTACCACTAGGCAACACGGAGAATTTTTCTCCTGCGAATACCAATCAAAGTATCAACAAGTACATCTCTTTGCAACATTATCCTGACTGTGTCCTTCTCCCGTGCTGTTCCCATAAAAACACCATGTACTTCTTGTTCCCGGAATGTCCCAATACTTGAAACATGAACTAGCAGTACTTGATACATATTTGTGCTAGAGCTGACTATGCTCGAGCTAGCAACATTGTTTATGGTTGAGTTTGCCCAGCGTCAGAGTTCTGATGACTGGGAGGTGCAAGGTCCGTGGATGGAGAACTGAACCAGGATATTCTGCTCATGTACTAACACCTGAGAGGGGCCTTTGCCCATCAGTGAAGTCTCGTGAACAGCCTGTGGACCTCAATGTCCTACAGATCCCTAACAGAAAGCAAAAAGAAGTAGTTAGAATACTGGCCCGGTACATTTTAAACTGACCTGATTACAATAGGTGATTCCAAACTGTTTGTAAAACTTTTGCAAGAAAATGTGGGCATGAATGGGGAACTGAAATATTGAAGAAATATATGAATTTGTGGATAATATCCCTTTATAAAGGGCCAACGGTATAGAATTTAGAAATGTATATTTGTATAATTTTAAGAGTACATATTGCTATTTGGCATTAAGAAATTTATTAACTATGTGGCCCCAAGAAAGTTTTATTTCTAAAATTTTCCTTTATTGTATAATTTGGTAGGCAACTGTATCATCTGTGTTGTCAGAAAAGCAATTTTTTTTTTATAGTCTAAATGTTGTTAGGTTCTTTTTGAAGGCTAACAACCGGGATTGTTGGGGGATGGGTAGTATGAGTCAGGCTTTTAAGGCACGAACTAGTGGTCCTGGGGAAGTCTAGGCTTTGAAGTATCCTGAT